CTCTCCATGAAGCAGTTCCTGGACTTCGGTGAGTGCCGCCCGGCTTCGGCCTTTGTGCGCGGCCCGGTGGTGAGGAGCTGCGGCCCGCGCTCGCACCCTCGCCCGATTCTCGGCCCCTCTTCCGCGCCGTGAGTGCTTGCTTTCTCCCTTGTGGGTGCTGGCTCGTGCGGGCCGGGTCAATAACAGAGCGTGTGGCTTTTTACCCTGTGTTGTCGAAAAGCAAACCCGGATGGACTCCAGCAGAATGAAGTCCCTCTTTAGCACGCACGTGTACAGGTGCACGATCTGGGCCAAGCCCCTTTGGAGAAGTTGAGCTCCGCTGAGAGCCTGGGTGTCGCCTTCGGACTCGGCTGAGTGATGGTAAATGAAATTGTACGATGATTGCGTAGACTTGGCATGCATAGTGATAGGAAAAACAAGTTATCGCCGGCCCAGTATTTCTTGAGATTGCTTTCCTTGCCAGTGGCGTGTTCCCTTCACCAGCACATTCGCAGCAGCAGCAAGTTAAGTCTTGAGCATTGTAAAGGGCACAAGGATAAGGGGCCCTAGAATTTACCACTTCACACCCTGGTTTTCTCAGGAACAGATTGAAGGGTTAACCATTTGACTTTGATTTTTCACATGGGGGTAATGGGGGTACAAGGAAAAACAGGTACAAAGTCTTAAAAGTTCGAGTAGAAGTTATCTTCTCCGTGGTAAATGCTATCAGGTCACTAACCTTGCTAGTTGACTTGAAAGATAACACCCTGGCGGGCAACTTTATCTTAAAACTGAGGCTTATATTGGCCAAGTTTGGGAACTTTTTTGTTTTCGCTCTCTGCGTTTGTTTTTTTCAGCTCAAAGTCCTTGCTTTTGCTTTTACTTGAAAATGCCTGTAGTGTGGTGAAGGGCAGAATTTAACCTTGTTCATAAGCGTGCTATTAAACTTTCTCAAGATGTTTTTCTTTTTTTGCCATAATTCCTCCATTGATAGTCTAGTTTTTGCTAAGGTCATCTCTGGTAAAGCAACAAGAATGAATTAGTCTAAAATGAGTTGCTGAAATAATACTACTTTTTAGTTTAGCTTTAAGTGGAGCTGCCATGGGCGGCTTATATCTAGTCTGCTTAGCATCCTGCTACAGAGTGGAGAAAGGAGTAGGTGCCTTTTTAGCAATCAGACAACAGACATTGGTGGGTTTTTTGCTTTCTGTTTCCTGAAAGCGTTTCTCTGCACTTATTCTTTGCTTGTGGCAATTGGTATTAATGGTGTTGTATGCAAATCCTCCTTTGCATGGGTCAAAGATTCCCTATATCCTAGGTAAATGTTCAATTTTTATAAACCTAATGTTAGGAAACAGACTTCTTTCAATGATAGTTAACAGCAGGATACATAGGACAGGCTTTTTCAGGTTCTACTCTTACTCAGCCTTACTCAGACATGCTCAGCCTTTAAGATAGATTGTAAAGATGGAAGTAACGGAAACATAGAGTCTGGAGAGTTTTTTTTTCCTTGTAATACTGGGGATTGAACCCAGTGCTTTTGTACTGAGCTACATCCCCAGTCTCCACCCTCTCTTAAATTTTTAGTTTTAAACAGGTTTCTCTAAGCTGCTCAGGCTAGACTGAGATGTGTGATCATCCTGCCTCAACCTCCCAGAGCGTTGGGATTACAGGTATGCACTAAAATCCTTGGTTGACCACCATGCCCAGCTGAGCAGCTCTTAACTGCCACACAGAGCCATTAGGTTATCAGGAATTGGAAGGTCACTGTGGGTTCACATTAACTTTAAAGATTGGCTTATCTCATCTGTCACCTCTCAGGCCTGGACCTAGGGTTAGGGTTAGTATCTTTGCCTCCTGTTCTCTTCTGGTCATTATGCTTGGTCATATCACTTATATGACTCTGCTCATATTATGCTGAACTTATCACTATTGTCATAGCAATACAGAAACTTCCCCTATATTTCTCCCTCTTTCCTTGTTTCCAATGCCTTATGGCTTCAACTTAACTACTCTTTCCCCTATTTTGGTTTCAGGATCAGTGAATGCTTGTGAAAAGACCTCATTTATGTTTCTTCGGCAAGAGTTACCTGTTAGATTGGCAAATATAATGAAAGAAATAAGTCTCCTTCCAGATAATCTTCTCAGGACACCATCTGTTCAATTGGTACAAAGCTGGTAAGATTCCTGTCTCTTGTTCATAGTTTTGATGGAACTGTTGACTTCAAAGTTAAAGCAAATGCTTCTTGTACTCTTCGGTAGACATCATAAGGCAGTGGCAGCAATTCTCTGCTGTGTGTGTGTGTGTGTGCGTCTGTGTGTGCATGTGTGTGCATGTGCGTGTGTGAGTGTGTGTATCTAGGCTTGTCCTATGTATTATCTAGAATTGTTTCTCAATGCTGGACTTTACCACTTTTTAGTTTTGAAAAAGCCAGTCAGACCCACACAAAAATATAAACAAATTTAAGATTTGTTACTAAATCTGCAGGAATATCCAGATGTAAGAAAAATATCTACCATTTGATGATGGATAGATATTTATATACATTACCTTTAATTCCTCAAGAACCCCACTCTATAGATACCATCAGCTCCATTTTACAGGTGAGGAAACTGAGGCATATGAAGGTGAAGTCCTTTGCCTAAGGCAATAGTTACTGCTACTGATATTAGAGCTGGGATTCAGACTCATGTTTGTCTGTGTCTACTCTGCTATATTGTCATGGGATTGATGAAATGTATTAAAGGCTACACATGTTTTATATAAACTGAATTCATTTTATTGACATGTATCTTTTTATAAATTACAAAAGTTAAAACTTATTCCTCTAACATATATTTATTCTACATTGTAATGAAATTCAATGTGGTATTTGAATGTGTACAGATAGCATGTACTGATCATATGTTTCTATTTTAAGACAGAAGTTACTGGAATAGTATAGAAATTGTGATTTCTCTTCCCACAAATTATAGGAAAGGTTCTAAGGGTGTGCATTAATATGTGGCCATATATTTACAGCTGTAGTTTTTGTTTTTTGCTTTTTGAGACAGGGTCTCACTACGTAGTTGAAACTGACCTGGAACTCACTATGTAGCCTAGGCTGGTCTCAAACTTACAGCGATCCTCCTGCCTCAGCCTCCCAAGTGCTGGGATTACAGGCGTGCACCACCATGCCTGGCTCTACAGCTGTTGTTGTTAATGCTATTATATGAAAAAGTGTTATTTTCTTGAGCACTATAAATAAAAAGGAAAGAGCTGGTCAGAATTAAGTCTTATATGGAAAAATTTTACTAGGAGACAATTCCCAACTATGTTTCATGGAAATGTATTTTCCTTTTATAGGTGATATAATTTGTGAGAGAAGCTGTTCTAATGTCAATTTTTAAAAAATGAGCAAAAGAAGTAGTATGACTGCTAAATGTATGATAATCAGATGCTATCTAGTCCAAGTATGCAATTATAAATGTGGCTTAGGTGAGAGGCATTGTTTTGGAGATAGAATATAAAAAAGAAAACACAGCTTTCCAAGGCAGCTTTTCTCAGTGTGTTAAAAGTGTAAATAGTACATGCTGTTTTTAAAAATCTGGTCTTGCCTAGCACAGGGTAAGTATTCAGAAATATCTCTTAAAGAGCATAGGCATTTCTTGCCTATGAAGAGATTATTAAAGATTAAAGTAGAACCACAGCTATCAGAGTCACATTGCTTAGAATGCAGAGAGGCATACTGCTTGTCAGAAACAGCTTTCCAAATGAACATATGGCTTTACAGATTTTAAAATTGCTTTCATTGGCTCTGGATGCCTGCTAACTTAGGGCAGTTTGTAGATAAAGTGTGTACAGACAAGCCAGGCAAGACTTACACTGTTGAAGAAGGTAGCTGAATGCTTGGGAATTTTTAGCTCTGGCCCCTGCAGTGGCTGGGTGACCTCCAGAAAGATTATGCCTTTTGGCTTTTTGTTGTTTTTTGCTACCTTGGATTGTTACATAAGAATGTTACACATTTACCCCCCCCCTTTTAATATCAGAGATTGAACTCTGGTCCTTGTGCTTGCAAGGCAGGCGGTAGAACCACTGATCTAAATCCCCAGCTATTGGGCTCTCTTTAAAAGGAGTGGCAACACTTCAGTTTTTAAACATGATTTTGAAAATAGTGTACATCAGAAGTTCTTTTGTCATATTTTGCTAACTTAGATTGTAAGGTACATTGAACACCTACATTTTTATGATTATTGTACTTTTATTCAGTTCTATTTAAAAGGACCATATGTTAGATTGCTGGCTTTCAATGAATCTTTATTGATATAAACATCTAAAAGTATGGTTTTAAAGTGCAAACTTTTACACACACAGCAACCCCCGAACCTGTTGCATTCCTAGCATTGTGGCCTGGCCGCCTCATCTTACTGAGACTGAGACAAGTCGTTTGCCCGAGATGATGCCGTGCTAACAGATGCAATTTTCATGTAATCAGTATTTGTACCCTAATATACAGTAGGGTTTTAAAGATTGAAAAACTACTTTAGGATAGAGTTTAAAACTCTTATATCAGATTTGATTTATACTTCTAAAGAAAAAAATGTACTTCTACTGCTTTGTGTCTAAGATTTTGCTTAAATATAAATGGGTGTAAAAATCCTACTTCAGCCATAATTTATAGCAGTATTCTAAATTAAAAATTATAAAATGTTTAAAATAGGTTTTTTTTCTCCTTATTTTGGTACCAGGGATTGAACTCAGGATCTTGCACTTGCCAGGCAGGCATGGTGCCACTGAGCTACATCCCCAGCTCCAAAATAGCTTTTGAGCTAATTTTCACAAAGCTTTTGGAATATAAAAGAACAAAGTTATCCTTTTAATTTGCATCTTAGGTATATCCAGAGTCTTCAAGAGCTTCTTGATTTTAAGGACAAAAGTTCTGAAGATGCTAAAGCTATTTATGAGTAAGTACATTAGCTTAACCTATTCTGAACACAATTTTTATATCTTTCTAGCATTATATGAAAATGTAACAGTATTAACTTTAAACCTGTTATTGGACCACTTTAGAGAACTTGATTGGATTTTAGGTTCCCACTGCTTCAGAGCAAATGGTATTATATGTATTTCTATGGATGCTTCATGGTCCTTTTTACTACAAGACAAAGTTCCAGTGTGATGATCCGTGAGAATCTAGAGGTGACAGTGGTGCTGCTTGAACTGTAAACCTGGAGAGTATATGCCCCTTCCATCACATAGCCACTCTCAGCTCCTGTTAGTCATTGCCATATTGAAATGCTACGCAGATCATCAGTTTTTATGTTTTTAAAGAAGCTACAAGTCTAGATTTTTAATGTGCAAGTTCCAGTTTTAAAAGATTGGCAAGTAATTACAGTCCTTTTGTTACACTGAAGTGCTACCGACCGTAGGGCAGCAAACACGGGATTTCACGAGGAGATACAGGTTCTCTGAAAGGTGGGAGCAGGTTCGGCGATGACAGTCAGACAAAAGCACTCAACACCGAGGTGAAGTTTGCAAATGCTGCTGCAATTTTATTTCTAACTGTAGGTGTTTATATACTAGTTTCAAGGGCACACCTCAAGAGTGATTCCAGTCACAGGCAGGCATGAGAAAGATAGACAATAGTACTGTAAAAACTAAGACCACAAGGTCAAGGTAAGACCACACCTATATACCATCACAAAAGCTAAGACCATTAAGTCAAGGTAAGACCACACCTATACGCAGTCAGAAGGGGAAGTTTGTAAAACAAAGGACTGGCTTCCGCATGTCACCTTCAGGATCACCTTCAGGACTTCACAGTCCGGGGCTCAGGGTCAGCACTTTGGCCGCCCGTCCTCTTGTGCCCCAATACCTCCCCATCTCTAGGAACATCTAATTGTTCCTAACCTTTCCTGGGCCCAGAATACAATTCTACAGATAATGAACAAATAGTAATAAAGACAAAATAGAACAGAATTATAAATGAACCCAATGTCCCCAAACTGCAGGCAGAGAGGCCAGCTATTCTCTTCACAGCTGACTTCGCATGTGGTGTGTGCCAAGGACCTCCAGGAGGCTTAACCCCGTGGGGACGATACCTCGGGTCTGGTTTCTGCCAGGTGACCGGCATTGTCACGCAGACTCCACTGGAGTAGTTGTGGCACTGAAGGGCTATAAAAACAAGCCAGTGGCTTTTCATGACCTGTGGAAATGGATATCATAAAACATAATAGAATTTCATAATCAACATGCTAGAATTGATAAGGCCAAGTGGTCACCTCAAGCAGTTACCTACTTATTCCAGTGAAGGTTGCTCATAGCAGAAAGATTACCTCTTGACCTCAGAATGTTACACATTTATTGGACTGTCTTCAAAGAGAGTGGCAACACTTCATGTTTTAAACATGATTTTGGCCTGAAAGTAGTGTAGGTCTGGGGTTAGGTGTGGAGCAGACTATACAGAAGTGTTGTCATTTATTGCTTAAAATAACTACTGAGATAATGCGTTTGTGCCCGAAGAGGGTGAGTGACTTGAGGTCATGTAGCCAGCAAGAGGTAGGATCAGGATTAGGACTGGAACAGCCTTACTTAAAAGTAAATATTAGAACCCTCTGTAGAAGTGATAGAACATTCTGAAAACAATCATTCAAAACTGAATCTAGAAAATAAAATGAACATTCATGCAGAATAATCATTTTTTTAAGAGATGAAATAAGTAGAGGGACTGGGATTATGAATTTGGTTTGTTTTTTTTTTGAGGAATTTTTTAATTTGCATTTTGGTTTAACAGTTTGGTTTGGAAGGTAATAACAAAGTAGGAATACCAAAAATGTTTTGAGTAGTGAGAACACTGGAATAAGTTAATAGTTAATATTGACTATGCCTGTGAAAGTACTGATTTAGAAGTACAAATTCTCATTGGTTGTGTTACTTCATAATTAAGGCTTGTTTTCTCCCTTATTTAGTTCCTTAAATTAGTCATCCAATGTCTTCCTAGTGATAGAAGTGGAAAGGCTGTATGATTTGAAAAAAATTTTTTAATTGGATACTTTTCCTCTCCTGCTTTGTAAACTCATAGGATGAATAAAACTAGAGTTCTGTTACTTTTCTGTTCTAAGGGTGCTTTCTCTCTGTTCCAAAGCAGACAGGCTTTATTGGCTCACTCATCTTGATTCCTTACAGAGCATGTCTTCCCTAGAAGCCCGCACTCTGCCTTCCCTTATGCAGGATGTCCCTGGAATGCCATCTCACAGTGAGTGCTCAGATGACCTTAGTTGAGAATGGCTAAAGAAAGCTCTTAACATATTTATGGTTTTGTTGTGCGGCTGCCTGACTGTTAGGAGCCTAAAAATTAAATTTTGAAGGGCTGGGGATTTAGCTCAGTGGCACTGCACTTGCCTTAAAAGCTCAAGGTCCTGAGTTCGATCCCTGGAAAAAAAATAAATTTTGAAAGTTTTATTTCAGAGGTCCTTATACCTTCAAGGATTTGGAATATTTTATAATATGAAATATATTTAGTAAGTACACAGAAGACATGCACTGTTGTTCTTTTCATTGAACTAGGGATTTGTCTTCTAAGCTTGATTAAGCTTATATTTTTGTATTGAATTCTCTTGTCAAAATATTTAGCTCTTTGTACAGACAGATTTGTTCAGCTTTACAGATACTGTGATACGGATCCGCAACCGACACAATGATGTCATCCCTACCATGGCCCAGGGTGTGATTGAATACAAGGAGAGCTTCGGAGTGGACCCTGTCACCAGCCAGAATGTGCAGTACTTTCTGGATCGTTTCTACATGAGTCGCATTTCAATTAGAATGTTACTCAATCAGCACTGTAAGTGTCCTCAAATAAAGAGAGGAAGCTAACTAAAGTGTTGATTTATTTTAAATTTCTCTTTAGAGAAAACATTTAATTTTAATTTTTTTGCCTGTTAGGAAAAATACATAGTTTGCCATATAAAAGAGTTTTTTTTTTTTTGTTGAATGTAAAATGCTACATTTATGCTTAAGGAAAATAGTTATTCTATTTGGTACCATTTGGAGCAATAATATTCATATCTGGAAATGATATTTAGGTTAATTCACTTTGTGTTTTTTATCTTTTGACAGCTTTATTGTTTGGGGGAAAAGGAAGTCCATCTCATCGAAAACACATCGGCAGCATAAATCCAAACTGTGATGTAGTTGAAGTTATTAAAGGTAAACACATTTCTCCTTTTTAAAAGGGTGCAAAAATCACAATTGTTGAGTGCCATTTCTTGGAATTAAAATAACTATTTGCACTTCTATTTGTATAGTGAGATAAAATGTGAGGAACAAATATAGATTTAAAAAGCCCTTTTGTAAAGTGAATTGTGTTGTATATATGAGATGAATGTTTTATCGATAAAATTCTTTGTTAGGCAAAGTTTTCTGATACTACTGGAAATTATTCACTTAAAAAATTCATCTCTACTCCAGTTTCTAATTCCTTATAACAGTTTTTGGCTTACTTTATTTTTCTTAAGCAATAATTCATTCCAATTTTAGTATATGTGCTGCCAAAGTGAGCACTCTTAAGCAGTAATTCATAACAGTTTTATTTGCATCTGTTCACACTTTTTTGGGGGTTATAGCACATGTATACATACATGTTCAAAATTATTTTTACATTTTTTTTGTTTTTAGAAAATGCAAAATTTTTTTGTACAAGTTGACAGACATCTTGCCATGTCAGTACATTTGAATATAATGTCAAGTTTTTGAGTGGCTATGTAGTGTATCAATATGTATAAAATCTATTCTCCACTGATGCACATTTAGTTTATTTTCATTTATTTCTGTTACTGACAATATTGTAGTGAAAAGCTTTAAATATATGCTGATTATTGCTGGTATTTTATAAGGTGAAATTCCTAGAATTAAAAACATTAAAATGCATTGAAAGTTTTGGTTTTCAAAACTTGAAAAAAATTTCAAATAGTGTGTCTCTCAATATTTTATTTATGTGTGAATGTATGTGTGTGTGTATTATAAATATTTTCTTTAGCCTGCTATTTTTCTTTTGACATGTTTATGGTATCTTTTCCCATATAATGTTTGAAATTTTTTATAGTTATAATCTTCCATTTTTCTTATTAGGCAGTTAGGCTTTATCCTGTTACATTTACAACAGCTTAGCTCAAACTAAGATCATTGAAGTACATTTTCTTCTGTAGGGAGTTTTAAATTTTAATTTGTCATTAGTAGCTCTGTCTCAGTACATGAAGCAGAAGTAAGTTTACTTAATGCTTTTTGTTTTTTTGTTTTCATACCAGATGGCTATGAAAATGCTAGGCGCCTGTGTGATTTGTATTATATTAATTCTCCTGAACTAGAACTTGAAGAACTAAATGGTAAGCTTGAAATCTTTTCCTCAGTGATTATTAGTGTTATGACTACCTAAAAAGAAATTATAAGAGAACTTAGATTTGTTTTGATAGAAAAGGACATTTTCATCAGCTTCTTCATAGGACATGAATGCTCAGATCAATCATGTTACTATATATATATATTTAATTGGATTCTTTATGAAAAACACTTTTCTGCTCTATTTTCCTTATTTTTAATTGATAATGTAGATTCTTTGCTTAATTTTAAATTTTCTTGATAGTCAGAAAAAAATGATGCTGAGAAATTTGTTTGACTTTTTTTTGAGACAGGGTCTCACTATGTATTTTAGGCTGGATTTGAACTCACTATGTAGCCTAGGCTGGCCTCAAACTTGCAGCAGTCCTCCTGCCTCACCCTTCCGAGTGCTGGGATTGTAAGCATGCACCCCAGTGCCCGGTTTAAATTGTTTAAGTGTATACTTCAATAGTGTAAAGCTTACCCTTTTTTCTATTTCCTGAGTTGTAAGTCATTTTTTTATTGTTAAGGAAGTGAAAACATTGGAGCTGTAAAAGGAAAAAAGATACTCATCTGTTTGAGGGTCTTTTTCCTTGGTTGTCTTTTCATTCTGACTAGTGCCTTTGAATAAAGGGGTTTAGATATCTTGAAAGGAAATCAGTAAGTCTTATTGTTTTTCCTAGAGGTGTGATAGTTTGACAGAGGGAAAAAGATAATGTGGGGGGGCAATGCTTGAGATTGAGCCTGTCCCAGCCCTTTTTAATTTTTAAATTTTTAATTTTGGCACTGGGTCTTGTTAAATTGCTAAATTTCGCAGGTTGACCTTGAATTTACAGTTCTCCTGTCTCAGGCTCTTAAGAGTGCTGGGATTAGAGGTGTGCCCCACCCTGCCTGACTAACAGGACATTTTAGGAAGGTTGTGGGAAGAGTAAAATTATAAAGAAGCTTTTACTAAGCTGTATTCTGGACTTTAGAGTGGGAGAGCAGTAGCAGCTACTCAGTTGAAAATAGAATTGCTAAAAAAAAATCATAATGTACAAGTGATAGTTTGGGAACATGAACTGCTGTGGGCAGTCCTATTTATGGTCCTAAGAGGTCAAATATCGATTTATTGGTTAAATTATTCTAAAGTATGATGAGTCTCATTCCTTTGCTACGCTATCTACATACAGCCCACCCTACCCCACTCCTGGGGGGGGGTCTATTATGTGTTTGAATGTAGAGTTAGTAACCCTTGAGAAATCGATGCTAGTTTAATTTTTTTCTTTTTGAGACAAGATCTCTCTATGTAGTTTAGGCTGGCCTTGAGTTTTCAGCAATCCTCTTGCATCAGCCTCTTGAGTGCTGTGATTAGCTAGTTTTTTAACTGAAATAAAATAGACAGCATTGCATCCAGGTGTGAGACATGCAGAAAAAAAATATTTTTAAAGTATTAATGTGAATGAGACTGTGAATTAATAGACTTAACAGTGGTCTTTGGGAAATAGGATTCCTAACTAAATGTTATCCTTTAAAAAGGTTTAACCATTACAGAGAAGGATGGCAGGATGTGTTGCTTAAATTGTTAGGCTAGATTGTGAGAAATGACCATAGTTATAAATGTTATAAATGTTTGTGAGTGTGGGGTTGAAACACTGATGAAGTGAAGAAATGGTGTGGCAGTTCTTCCCAAATAATACTATCCTCCATAGCTAATGTTTTCTTTTCATCACTACACAATTTAGTCTTAAAATGCTTTACGCACATCTCTCTGTACTTTTCATATTTTTCTCTTCTGCTCTGTAGCAAAATCACCAGGACAGCCAATACAAGTGGTTTATGTACCATCCCATCTCTATCACATGGTGTTTGAACTTTTCAAGGTTTGTAAAATAGTATTACATAACCTTTATCAGTCCTTTCCTGAGGATAGGAATCTGCCTGGAAAGTCAGATATTCCTCTGGGTTCTGTTTCATTAAAAGATGCTATTTCATGTCCGTATCATGTCACACTCTTGCAGGACAGCCTTTCATCAGTACGGCCGGGCACTTCCATGTGCTGAGCTCAGGCTTCTCCCCACCCCACTTCACCCTGCAGAACTGGGGATTGAACCCAGGGCCTTTGCATGGAACTACATCTCCAGCCCATTTTTTATTTTTTATTTTGAGGCAGGGTCTCACTGAATGGCTAAGTTGCACAGACTGGATTCAAATTCCCAACCCTTCTGCTTTAGTGGGATTTCAGGTGTGTACCACAACACCTGGCTGGGCTCAGGCTTTGAAGTCACAGTGAGTCTCACTTGTTTCACTTAATATGTGTGTGACTTTGGGCAAGTCACTGAATTCCTCAGAACCTCAGCTTCCTCTTCTGTAAAACAAGAGTACTATTTATAGATTGGGAATAACACACTAAATGCCTGATACAGCACATTGTAGGTGCTTTAAAAAGCTATGTTGAAATTTTTATAAACTAAAATATTGAAAAGAGTGATTTCTACCTTTCTACACTTTGGCCCCACTGATAAACCTGCCTTTTTTCTTTCTAAGAAAGTCATTCATATTGATTTACAGGGCTTTTGCATTATATTTGTTCTTTATGACAGATTTTGAAAATTAAATGAAATTGTAGATATTGTTGAGAGTATTTGTTTTTTTTTCCCCCTCCAGTGATGCTTGCTGGTTGGGCATAGGTCCGTTTGGCTGAAAATAACCACTCTAAATCAGAAACCTATAGAGTCTCTCATATTTTAGTTACTGTGTCTTCAGCCAGCAGCAAATTAGAAGAGAGAAGAGATGGTTTTCCATCTGACAGTGGAATAGAGAAATACACTGAAACTGACTGAATACCTCAGAGAACAAGAGTTAAGAATGCTACTCTTGTTCTAAGATGGCAAGAATCCACTTAACACCTTACAAAAATCTATCAAAATGATTAAATAACAATTAAATTTAAAGTGTTAAAACTAATCTTTTCCTTAAAATTCCAATCCCATGAAGGCCTTATACCTGGAATGGCAAATAAAAATGTTCCATAATCTTTAACATATTTTCCATAATCCATGTAACAGTGGCTTGCCGCTGGAATCTGATCTTAAACTGCAGGCTCCTTATCAGGCCTGTTCAGTCTTGAGTGATGTGCCAGGGCCACATCTTGTTTCTAAATTCAGTCCTGACTTTTGCCTTTTTTCAGTTGCTTTTTTTAATAGTGCTGGGATAGAACCCAGAGCTCACACATGCTGGCAAGTGTTCTAATGCCGAGGTGTACCCCTAGTAGTTACCTCTAGTCTTTGCTTCTACTCCAGGGCTGTGTGTCATGTTGTTATTGTTTAACGCTAACAATGTGTTGCCATTGCATACCTCATATCCTTTGGAAATTGGTCAAAATAGTTTTACGATGTAAATATCCTTAGTTACAAATTAGCATAAATGATCATAAATCCGTTGCTGTTAGGATGAAAAAAATTTCTTAAAGAATTTTTTGACAGTCTGATTCTTAAAAAATAGAGCCCAAAATTACATTTTCAAAATAAGTTTTGTCCATTATCAAAATTGTAAAAATGGACAGAATTTTTTTTTTGCTTTAATACTTTTAAGTACTATTAAAAGTGTTTAGAAGTTTACTTTTGGAAAATATGCAGGATTTAGTTGAACTCTAAATCAAAATACTGTATCCTTCAACCCCCCCATTGTCTCAATTCTTAATTATAACTCTTTAAATATGGATATAAAAGTCATGATTCTTAGCATAGTTCCTTCAAAAGTTTAAAAAATTTTAAATTCATATAATGCATATATACTTTAAAAATACAATTAATTTCTTTGAAAAGGTTATTTTTAACATAACTCTAATATATTTCAGAATGCAATGAGAGCAACTATGGAACACTATGCTGACAAAGGTGTTTACCCCCCTATTCAAGTTCACGTCACACTGGGTAACGAGGATTTGACTGTGAAGGTAAACTTTTAAAAACTGATATACAGGCATGCATGGATAACCACACATATAATTTCTAGAAGACAGTTCATTCTCAGGGGAAGGAAATCTAGTCTACTGGATAAAGAAGCACATTGCTTCTTTATCTGGCAGGTATTATCTCCTGAGTATGTTTCTATTTTGGTTCCTAATCCAAGTAAATCCTAGAGACAGTTTAGCAGTAGTCCTGAACAGCCTCTATAATAAGTAAAATCTAAAATATTTGGGTATTTGCAGTGTGATGAAGAAATTAAATAGCCTGCCTGCCTGCCTGCCTGCCTTCTTACCCACCCACCCACCTACCTAGCTACCTACCATTCTTCCTTCCTTCCTTCCTTCTCTTCTGTCTTTCTTTCTTTGTGTCTGGGATGAAACTCAGGACCTTGTGCTTGCGAGGCAGGTGTGACACCACCGAGTTGCATCCCCGTCCCTGTAAGGAAAGTTAAAACTTTAAGTTGGAAAGGCTTGGGTTAAGGCTTTCGGCTCTCTAAGGCGCATAATCACTAGTTCACCTCTTCTTTCCCTGGATACCTGGCCAGTTCCTGGGAAAAAACAGGGAGGACTTTGTTAAAAAGACCAGATGTTCTTAACATCAAGATAAGGAATGTGATGCATTCCGCCCCTCCCGGACCCCTGGCCAGGGCCTGGTTGGGACGTGACTGCAAGCACATTCACCTTTTTCGCGCCAAAAGTACAGATAGATTTACTACCTTTGTCTAGAGAGCTATATAAACAGCCCACCTAGCCCAGGCTGCTGCTGCTGTCTTACGCCCGGGATTGAGACCTGTAGCCGAAGGGATTGCTGAAGAGACCCGTGCTGTGTTGCGAGTGATGAACCTAATTCCTCCAACATTCCGGTGTTGTTGCCAGAGAGCCTAAGGGTAATTTCCCGGATAGAGTCCCTCTTGCTGTTAGAGGACTCTCTTTCTTTGTCCTCTCCATTCTTACTTTTGTTTTCTGTATGCGCATATCCTTCAATAAACTTTCCCTTTTGTACTTATTTAAGGCTGGTGGACGTTCTTTTAGCGGATCGAGCCAAATTAATTAGGAGACCGTGCACGGCAAAGGGCAATAAATAAAATTTGTCCTTACAGCCTATGGGAGTATTAATGCAAAAAAGACCTCTTTATGGGATTCATCCACCTCATGCTCACCTAAAAGTCATCAAACCTTACCATGAGATGGACCCTTCTTTTATTTTTGGTACCTGGAATCGAACTCAGGTCCTTGTGCTTGCAAGGCAGGCGGCAGAACCGCTGAGCTAAATCCTCGGCCCAAAAGATTCCCAGGTAATTCTGATGGATCCCCAGCACTCCTACAAATACTGCCCTACACCACATCCTTCACTCTATCTATTTATTTACTTTGTTGATACCAAGGATTGAACTCGGGTCATTGCGCTTGCAAGGCAAGCAACAGAACCACTGAGCTAAATCCCTGGCCCCGCTCATTTTTGACCATTACTTTTCCATCTACTTTTACTTTATCTCTTTTGGTTCTCATAACAGCTCCTTAAATAGGAGCACAAATCATTTTATCTTCAGTTTGATGAGGGAACTAAGAGTGATTAGCTCAGGGTCATACAGGGAATAAATGCCATGAGATGTGAAATCTAGCCCTTTGATGCCAGTGGCTAGTTTCTTTAAGAATATGATAGTGTTTCTCTCCTTAAAATAATCAGGTAAAGGGCTGGGGATTTAGCTCAGCGGTTCGGTGGCCTGCCTCGCAAGCGCAAGGACCCAAGTTCAATCCCCGGTACCAAAAAAAAAAATCAGGTAAAAATCAGAAGAAAATAAAAATCAAATTTGTCAGTTTCTGTCCATTTAATGGCCTCACTTCTTAGAGATAATCCTTTAATGTCTTGTGGTAGTTAAGGATGTATTTCTGCTAAGTCTACTAATACTTTTATTTTTGAAATTTTCACATTTTGAATAGCAGATATTAGCTTTCTCTAACAGTAGCTGAGGAATTAAAGCATCTGAGATGTCAAATAGAGCACTTGTTTGCCTCCTTCCCCCCAGCCTTAAATGCCATGTTCTTCAGTATTTTCCTAGTATTGAAATTCATGCATAGAATTATAGGTTGAAAATAATCTTGCAGAATTTTTAAAGCACCTGCTGCTGTTCTTTTCTTAAAAGTGTACAATTCAGTGGTTTATAGTATTTCACAATGGTTCACAGTTGTGCAACCATTACTACTGTCTAATTTTAGAACATTTTCATCACTCTCAAGAAAAGTTTCAAAACCCATTAATATTCCATAGTTTTCCCCTCTTCCTAGCCATTAGTAGCCACTAATCTACTTTCTCTTTGTGGATATTCCTATTCTTATACAGTTTCACTTAATTGCAGTATATCTTTGTGACTTTTTTCACTGTAATGTTATAGCATACATCAATGGTTGATTCCTTTTTGTGGATAATATTAGATGGGTATAACATTTATTAACATTTATTAGTGGATACTAGTCCCTAATGAGGTATATGCTTTGCAAGTGTATCCTCCTATTCAGTGAATTTCTTTTCACTTTCTTTCCATTTCTTTATTATTATTATTATTATTATTATTAATTATTTTTTTGGTCTTGTCCTTGAAGTCTTGACAGTGCCTTTTGAACAACAGACTGTTTAATTTTGAAAAAGTCCAATTCTCTTTTTCTTTTATGTCTTATATTTTCAGTGTCACAGCTAAGAAATCATTGCCTGCTCAAAAGTATCAAAAATTTATGCCTATGTTTCCTGCTGAGCTCATATTTTAACTCTGATATTTAGGTTTTGATCCATGTGGAGTTAATTTTTATGGTTCGAAATAGAAGTCCATCTTTATTCTTTTGCATGGTATCCAGCTGTCCCCATTTCTGGAAAAATTATTTTTTCCTCATTGAATTGTCTTGTCACCATTGTCAGATACATTGCTCATAAATGTATAAGGTTTATTTCCAGGTTCTCAATTCTCTTTCATCCATCTGTGTTTCTCCTTAAACTGGTACTTACTTATTCCTATCTTGATTACTGTAGCTTTAAGTTTATAAATTTGTTTAGAATGTGTCTGACAACTCATTTCATTTTTTTTTTCTTTTTCAAGATTGTTCTGGCTGTTGTGGGTTATCTGCATTTTCATTTGAATTCTAGGATTAGCCTGTCAATTTCTGTAAAAAATATCAGCTACAATTTGATGCACACTAATTTTTGGAAGTATTGCTTCTTACTCTTCTAATCTGTAAACCAAGTTATCTTTCTCCTTATTTAGATTTTCTTTAATTTTGTCAACAGTGTTTTGTGATTTTCACTATACAATCTTACACATCATTTATAGATTTTTCCCTAAGTATATTTATTCTTTTTGATGCTATCATTAATGAAATTGTTTCCTTAAATCCATTTTCAGGTTATACATTGTTAGTGTATAGAAATATAATTTATTTTTACATACTGCTCTTCCTAAATCCTTGCTGAGCTTGCTTATTAACTCATAAGTTTCTATGGATTAGTTATGATTTTCTGTATACATATCATCTACAAATGGAGAGAATTCTACTCATTCTTTTCCAATCTGGATTTTCTTTTCTTGCCTAATCAGTGTGGCTAGAACATTTAATAGAAGTGATGAGACATCTTTGTTTTTTTTCTTGATTCTAGGAGAAGCTGTCAGTCTTCTATTAAGCATATTAGCTGTGGGTAACTATCAGGTTGAGGAAATTTGCCTATTCTTAGTTTATTGAGTATTTTATCATGAAAGAACTTGCCCATTTCATTATCTAATTATTACAAACAGTTATTCATAGTATTCCTTAATAACTTTCTTAGTTTTGTAAGATTAGTAGTGACGTCCTCATTTTCACTCTTGCTTTTTAAAAAAATTTTAATAATACATAAAATTGTAATATTAATGGTATCCTGTATTTCCTTCCCACTGTTTTATTCTCTTTCTGGTTGTTAAATCAGAAGAATGTTATGTTTGTGAAATCATCCTTTGTTTTCCCTTTTTTATTCTGTTTTTTATTCTCTCATTTTTTATTCTTTTCTGTGACTTTAAATTCCTAAACCTTCTATTGAATTTGTTATTGTTGTTTTGTTGTTGCTTTTTTTGGTAGGAGGGATCAAATTCAGGACCTTGCACTTGTGAGGCAGATGGCAGCACCACTGAGCTACATCCCCAGCCCCCTTCTATTGCATTTTTATTTCCATTGTCTTGTTACAAATTTGCAAGAACTCTTATTTTTATTATTCCTTTTCATAATATTCTATTCAGAGTTTTATTTTATTGCTCTGAGGATATTAATTTTTTTAAAAAATTAATTTGTCTCTATTGTCTAATTTCTCATTTTTTATGGCTAAGTAGTACTCTATCTTATTTAAAAAATACATATCTCATTGACGGGCAGTTAGGCTGCTTCCATGTTTTAGCTATTACAAATTGTGCTGCTATGAACATGGGTGCACATTTATCACTGTGGTATGATTATTTTAATTCTTTGGGGAAGATACCTGGCAGAGGAATGGCTGGGTCAAATGAAACTTCCAATCATAGTGCTTTGAAGTATTTCCATACTGATTTTCACAAGTGGCTGCACCAGTCTACACTCCCACTAGCAGTGGAGCAGTGTTCCTTTTTCCCCATAAACCTGCCAGCATTTATTGGTTGATTTCATGATAGCAGCCATTCTTTCTTGGGTGAGGAAGAATCAACATTTTCATTTGCATTTCTCACATGACCAGTGATGTTGAACATTTTTCATGTTTATTTACTATTTCTATTTCTTTTTCTGAGAAATATCTTTTCATTTCAGAGCCCTATTTTTGGATTGGGTATTTAAATTTGGGAGGTCTGATTTTTTTTTTTTTTAAGTTCTTTATATATCCTAGATAGTAGGCCTTTGTCTGAGGAGCAGCTGGTGAAAAATTTTTCTCACATTGTGGGTTGTCTTTTCACAGTGTTGGTCATTTCTCCTGCCATGCAGAAGCTTTTTAGTAAGAAGGCATC